CTTGCTTCGGATGCTGGATCTGACCTACATTTTCATTCCCTAGTAACTATAATTAAGCCCTACCTGAACCAAACTTGTATGGATGATGCATCTAGGGATGGACACTACCAGACTTGCTTTGGATGCTGGATCTGACCTATTTTTTCATTCCCAAGTAACTATAAGTCCTACCTGAACCAAACTTGCATGGATGATGCATTTAGAGATGGACACTACCAGACTTGCTTTGGATGCTGGATCTGACCTATTTTCATTCCCAAGTAACTATAAGCGCTACCTGAACCAAACTTGCATGGATGATGCATCTAGGGATGGACACTACCAGACTTGCTTTGGATGCTGGATCTGACCTATCTTTTTATTCCCAAGTAACTATAAGCGCTACCTGAACCAAACTTGCATGGATGATGCATCTAGGGATGGACACTACCAGACTTGCTTCGGATGCTGGATCTGACCTATATTTTCCATACAAGCAATTCAGCTGCATCACTATTCAAGATATTCTAATCAAATTTTATACACATACAAATTTTCATGTTGCTTTATTAATATATCCTCAGCGGGGCATTCATGTCCCATGGACATATTTCTAGTTTTTCAAGTACCACTGGGCCAGAAAAGCTTTATTGTATGTGGAAGCATCCGGGGGTAATTTAGATATTAAATTGTTCAAATCATGATCCCTTGGGGTAGGGCGGGGCCACAATAGGAAATACAATTTTCACATCGAAATATAGAAAAATCTTTTAAAATCTTCACAACCACTGGTCTAGGAAAGCTGAAACTTATTTGGAAATATCTGTTAATGTAGATTCAAAATTTCCCAAATTACCATCCCATGGCATAGGTTGGGCCAATAGGTATTGCAATGGAAGGGGAGAATGAAGAACAGCATTGCCAAGTTTTTCAGATGAGCACTGTGGTCCATGGGCCTATGTTTAACAATTGTTTCTCAACAAATCAGATTCAACCAATCAAAATGAAAAGTATAAAATTCATAGCTATAACATATTTCATACAGAAGCAACTTTTTCATGCATAGGTCGAGGACTTTAAAAAAATTTTTCGGGGAGAGGGGGCACTGGTCTTTAAACAAACGTACGTGACTCTAATTACATTTGTTTTTGTTTAAGACAGATCCCTCCTTCCCAAGGATCCCAGTCACCCTACTTAGATCCTCGCGTGGGGGGGGGGGGGGGGTGTGTGGGACAGGTCACTTTCCAGCTAAATTCTTGAGAGTCCTATGGAGGTTTGGATCCCTCCTTCCCAAGGATCCCAGTCACCCTACTTAGATCCTCGCGTGTACATGCGGGGGGGGGGGGGGGTTGTTATATTTAGGACAAAATTCTTTCTTTCTTATCTATGACTTTCCTTAAATTCTATGGTTAAAACTAAACGAATTAGATTATTATATCCCAAACGGACTATTATATCCCATTTGGGCGATTGGTCCCAACCTGCAGAATAGTGAATTATTATGTTGTATTTTGAAAATGTATTGTGCTGTTAGACTGTATAAGTTTGAGATGTCAGATCCTGAGTTAGGCTAACTTTGCCTTGAATCAGCTGTGCATTGATATTGCAAATATATTTACTGTCAGGCATTTTAGGGAGTTGAAGGGGGCTGTTTTTGTTTTGCTCCTTTCTTAATGGCAAAAAGTGTTTTCCCAATTTCATCATAGAAAATTTCCAATAGACAATCAAAACAAACAAAATTTGGTTATAAAATGTTGAGACTTGGTAACATATAAAGTAAATGATGTTCAAAAAAATATATAAATTGTGTGCTCTGTTACAGCGCACTTTGAAAAATTACACACTTTGAAATTTTTTTTCAAAGTGCGTTAAATTTTGGACCACATCAACGCACTTTACAAAAATAAAATTTCTTTTTCAAAGTGCATTAAAATCGACCATATTAACACACTTTGAAAAAATGTGCAAGGCTAGGTCAATATTCTTGCAAATCTTAGTTATGATAAATAATTGAACATGTTCGATAACTCATCATTGATGATGAGGTCACTTCAGGATTTGAAAGTGAGCGATTTTGATTTTTCCATGCTTTGAAAATTCTTTCTCTCTAAAATGTTTTACTGTACTTATTTTTTTCCAGCTTGCATGCATTTTATTTAAACTAAAATTTATTGAAAGTTTTCAATGTTATACCAGTTATGCAAATAAATACATTTGGTGTAGCATAGAAATTGGTGCCGGAAGGGGGGCTTAGGCACACGTACAAATGTTTTACAAAGATATACATAATACAGGCATTGAAAATTGTGGCTTACCTTGGGGGCTAGGGGGTTCCACTTTCAATTTGCTACTGACGGCTTTGTACAGTGTATAAGAAAATAAAATTAAGCTGACAGACCTTCTTCTCATCTTCTCCTTGTTCTCATTGAGGTTAATTATCAATGTGTACATATAAATTAAAAAAAAGTTTTTTGAAGGATATAATTACATGTATACATGTATATTACAAATTGATTCTCTCGGTTACTAAAATCTTAGTCAAGAATTTTGGGTTTTATACATTTTTTTTCAAAGTGTGTTAAATGTCCCTGTGGTAAAAATGTTTATGTATACTCTTAACGCACTTTGAAAAAAATTTTCAAAGTGTGTTGAGTGTGTCCCAAATTTAACGCTTTTTGAAAATTTTTTTCAAAGTGTGTTGATTTTGTCCCAATTTTAATGCACTTTGAAAAATTTTTTCAAAGTGCATAATTTTTTCAAAGTGCGTTGCCACAGTGCTCCAAATACTGATTGAGGGAATGTTGAAGTATTGTATGTATAAACTGACATTGCTGGTAATTGTTTATATTAATTTGTATTCAGCATTAATCATACAAGACTTACAATATTATAATACGCAATCTTTCCTGCAATACAAGTGACTAGATCTACACACCTCCATGCACAACAGACGATAACGTACTCACACTTGCGCATCGCACACAGTGTCAAGTTAACACATACCTGCACACACTCATACCACACTACACTCCCCTCCCTTTTGAAAAAGAGGGAGGTACTCCTGTACCTTAATACAACATATGCAAGTAAAAAAAGTCAATGAGTACCTTGAAAATAAAAGAAAAACTATTATTTATTTACATAAATAGAAAAATGACAAAATTATAGTTTTTTTTTTAAATTTCAACCAAATGTCACTTTTTTCTCAAATGGAATAGCCCAGCCCATTGATGTTTTGCCCTCTTTCCGGATTCTGCTGGAAATCAAGCGGTGAGGTTGTCGGCATGACATTTTACTTGCATAAATTTATTCATCAAATGCATAAAAAAATGCATTTTAATATTAGTAACACCCATGGGATCAGTGCAAGTGTTGGTGTCCCAGATGAAAGTTATTGGAGCAGACTTCTTTTTAAGTACATCTATGCCCTAGCCCCTAAGGGATGCATGTAAGATGCTTAAAGTGTGTTTCATTGTACTAGCCAGGGTTTCAGAGACAATAATTTCAGCTAATTTAAAAGAATGATCAGGTTAATGTTTTTGAAGCAGGTGTCATTTCCAAGTATTTTGACCTAACTTACAAGAATCGTTCATGTACATCTGAAATAAAATATATGGACGTACACTACCAGGCTTGCCTCGGATGCTGAATCTGGCCTTTATTTTTAATATGAGTGACTAGGTTAAAAGTTTTTTGAGCTAGTCTCATTTCCAAGTAACTATAAGGCCTATTTTGACCAATCTTCCATGGATCCATTACCAGGCTTGCTATAGATGCTGAATCCAACCTACATTTTATGGATGAGTGAAAGAGTCAAGATTTTTGGAGCACGGAAATATTTGGAAATAGTCATTCTAATATAACTATTTACCTGTTGAATGATCACAATCAAATTAGGCCACACCAATAAAATTTTTTGTTTGTCGGACCCGCTCGTATATAAACAAAACTATGAAAAAAAATTAAATAAATTTAAATTTTCCGCACCATGGGGATTCTGTGCTATTTTTCTGTTTTATTTCCGCTCTATGTATCGTATTCTTAATCGGCTTACTCTGAAAATAATGAATAAAAAATTAATTGTCCGCTCAATTTTTTTCTTGATCTGCCTAAAAATGTCGCCTACAAAAAGTAATAATATTATTTTTAAAACGGCTTGACTGCTTGTACTTTTTTTCATCAAATGCCCGACGAACAAGAAATTAAATTGGTGTGGCCTCAGAGATATAAAGGTTATTCAGATGCAACAATTTTTTTTACCTTGAAGCTTTATTTTGAACTTGAACTTACCTCAGCAAAGTCAAGATGTAGTTATGCTATACCCTGACACCAGCCTCAGGGATAGCATTAGTGCCCTGGTATAGTTTTAGGAGCAAGTCCATGTTCAAGTAGAAGAATTACATGCTTAGTTTGGACTTTCAGTAAGGCGTGGCATTCTCAACGTTACCTAATTAGCTTCTGAAATTTACACAGCTTCCCTTCACTGTTGAAATATACATATGATAGAAATGCGGCCGAATGTCAACTGGTGTAGTAAATAGCCAATTAAAAGTTCTCTCACGGCACAGAGGTGGGGCATAAGTCGTCTGATCATTCGTATGTTATTAATTTCGTAACCAATGAGAATCTACTAGTATTTGCCATTACGTAGCGCCGAGAAAGTCACGCCCTACTGAAAGTCCAAAGATAGGGTAAAATACTCCTAAGTATAAGTTGTACCTGGACCAAAATTGCATGGATGATGCATTTAGGAATGGACACTACCAGACTTGCTTCGGATGCTGGATCTGACCTATATTTTCCAGATGAGTGACCAGGTTAAGGTTTTTGGAGCAGGTCCATTTCCAAGAAACTGTAAGTCCTACCTGATCCAAACAAGCATGGATGATGCATCTAGAAATGGACACTACCAGACTTGCTTCAGATGCTTTATCTGACCTACATTTTCCAGATGAGTGATGAAATTATTCCCAACTCAGCCCTACCCTGACCAAACTTGCATGGATGATGCTTCTAAAGATGGACATTTGAAACTTGCTTCGGATGCTGGATTTGACCTGCATTTTTCAAACGAGTGACCAGGTGCAAGTATTTGGAAAACGTCAATCCTCAATGAATTTTAAAACCTATTTAAACAGAATTTGCTTGAATATTGTTTTCAGGATAAATACTAACTGTTAAGGAAATAAGATGTGAATTTTGGATTACTTAAACTGATAACATTCATCGAGGTGAGCTTCGTAATTTTTGATTATCTATGCTTTTAAATGAAGTTTCATACTTGATATGAAATGAGAGTGTCTCCCCTTTGATGTGTCTGTTTTCTCTTTATAAGAGCAGAAGAAAGTTGAGGCTGACCAGGATCCTGAAGTGAGGAGTATTCCCTCTCCTGTTTAACAGCATTCATGAGGAGAAAGTGGGGGTATGATTCATACTTGACCTCTTTGCACCTTTTCCCAATATTTTGGCTTTCCAATTTGGTGTTAGCTTTGTCAGGCTTTGACCTCTTGATTTTGAATTGACAGAAATTTAAGCAGAGATGCTGAGACAGTTCAGAAGAAACATCACCAGGAGCCACAGGAACAGCAAAGGAAACTTATATGGAAGTATTTTTGATTTTCTCCCTTCTATCCTCTGCTCCCTGCTGACTCTAACATTACTAACCATTCACTTCACTTTTCCCCTCATTCGTCTTCCTGAATTCAGTCAATGTTTTCTGATTTTTCAATGAATTGTGTTGTACTGATTTTATTCACGTGAATTTTTGTGATTTGTTGCATTGTTTTGAAGTTTTACTAACATTGTGCCAGTTTTATACTTTCAGGGACTCGGAAGAGGAACAACGATGGAGGAGCAGGGTCGACCAACAGAAGGAGACGAGATGACGAGTCCATTTCCCATCTCTATACAGCAGCCAACATGGCCCAAAGTGGTAAGTAACTTTTCGTGATTTGTTGCATTGTTTTGAAGTTTTACTAACATTGTGCCAGTTTTATACTTTCAGGGTTTCAGAAGAGGAACAACGATGGAGGAGCAGGGTCGACCAACAGAAGGAGACGAGATGACGAGTCCATTTCCCATCTCTACACAGCAGCCAACATGGCCCAAAGTGGTAAGTAACTTTTCGTGATTTGTTGCATTGTTTTGAAGTTTTACTAACATTGTGCCAGTTTTATGATTTCAGGGTTTCAGAAGAGGAACAACGATGGAGGAGCAGGGTCGACCAACAGAAGGAGACGAGATGACGAGTCCATTTCCCATCTCTACACAGCAGCCAACATGGCCCAAAGTGGTAAGTAACTTTTCGTGATTTGTTGCATTGTTTTGAAGTTTTACTAACATTGTGCCAGTTTTATACTTTCAGGGTTTCGGAAGAGGAACAACGATGGAGGAGCAGGGTCGACCAACAGAAGGAGACGAGATGACGAGTCCATTTCCCATCTCTACACAGCAGCCAACATGGCCCAAAGTGGTAAGTAACTTTTCGTGATTTGTTGCATTGTTTTGAAGTTTTACTAACATTGTGCCAGTTTTATACTTTCGGGGTTTCAGAAGAGGAACAACGATGGAGGAGCAGGGTCGACCAACAGAAGGAGACGAGATGACGAGTCCATTTCCCATCTCTATACAGCAGCCAACATGGCCCAAAGTGGTAAGTAACTTTTCGTGATTTGTTGCATTGTTTTGAAGTTTTACTAACATTGTGCCAGTTTTATACTTTCAGGGTTTCAGAAGAGGAACAACGATGGAGGAGCAGGGTCGACCAACAGAAGGAGACGAGATGACGAGTCCATTTCCCATCTCTATACAGCAGCCAACATGGCCCAAAGTGGTAAGTAACTTTTCGTGATTTGTTGCATTGTTTTGAAGTTTTACTAACATTGTGCCAGTTTTATAATTTCAGGGTTTCAGAAGAGGAACAACGATGGAGGAGCAGGGTCGACCAACAGAAGGAGACGAGATGACGAGTCCATTTCCCATCTCTACACAGCAGCCAACATGGCCCAAAGTGGTAAGTAACTTTTCGTGACTTGTTGCATTGTTTTGAAGTTTTACTAACATTGTGCCAGTTTTATACTTTCAGGGTTTCGGAAGAGGAACAACGATGGAGGAGCAGGGTCGACCAACAGAAGGAGACGAGATGACGAGTCCATTTCCCATCTCTATACAGCAGCCAACATGGCCCAAAGTGGTAAGTAACTTTTCGTGATTTGTTGCATTGTTTTGAAGTTTTACTAACATTGTGCCAGTTTTATAATTTCAGGGACACGGAAGAAGAACAACGATGGAGGAGCAGGGTCGACCAACAGAAGGAGACGAGATGACGAGTCCATTTCCCATCTCTATACAGCAGCCAACATGGCCCAAAGTGGTAAGTAACTTTTCGTGATTTGTTGCATTGTTTTGAAGTTTTACTAACATTGTGCCAGTTTTATAATTTCAGGGTTTCAGAAGAGGAACAACGATGGAGGAGCAGGGTCGACCAACAGAAGGAGACGAGATGACGAGTCCATTTCCCATCTCTATACAGCAGCCAACATGGCCCAAAGTGGTAAGTAACTTTTCGTGATTTGTTGCATTGTTTTGAAGTTTTACTAACATTGTGCCAGTTTTATAATTTCAGAGTTTCGGAAGAGGAACAACGATGGAGGAGCAGGGTCGACCAACAGAAGGAGACGAGATGACGAGTCCATTTCCCATCTCTATACAGCAGCCAACATGGCCCAAAGTGGTAAGTAACTTTTCGTGATTTGTTGCATTGTTTTGAAGTTTTACTAACATTGTGCCAGTTTTATAATTTCAGGGTTTCAGAAGAGGAACAACGATGGAGGAGCAGGGTCGACCAACAGAAGGAGACGAGATGACGAGTCCATTTCCCATCTCTATACAGCAGCCAACATGGCCCAAAGTGGTAAGTAACTTTTCGTGATTTGTTGCATTGTTTTGAAGTTTTACTAACATTGTGCCAGTTTTATAATTTCAGGGTTTCAGAAGAGGAACAACGATGGAGGAGCAGGGTCGACCAACAGAAGGAGACGAGATGACGAGTCCATTTCCCATCTCTATACAGCAGCCAACATGGCCCAAAGTGGTAAGTAACTTTTCGTGATTTGTTGCATTGTTTTGAAGATTTACTAACATTGTGCCAGTTTTATAATTTCAGTGTTTGGGAAGAGGAACAACGATGGAGGAGCAGGGTCGACCAACAGAAGGAGACGAGATGACGAGTCCATTTCCCATCTCTATACAGCAGCCAACATGGCCCAAAGTGGTAAGTAACTTTTCGTGATTTGTTGCATTGTTTTGAAGTTTTACTAACATTGTGCCAGTTTTATAATTTCAGGGTTTCAGAAGAGGAACAACGATGGAGGAGCAGGGTCGACCAACAGAAGGAGACGAGATGACGAGTCCATTTCCCATCTCTATACAGCAGCCAACATGGCCCAAAGTGGTAAGTAACTTTTCGTGATTTGTTGCATTGTTTTGAACTTTTACTAACATTGTGCCAGTTTTATAATTTCAAGGACTCAGAAGAGGAACAACGATGGAGGAGCAGGGTCGACCAACAGAAGGAGACGAGATGACGAGTCCATTTCCCATCTCTATACAGCAGCCAACATGGCCCAAAGTGGTAAGTAACTTTTCGTGATTTGTTGCATTGTTTTGAAGTTTTACTAACATTGTGCCAGTTTTATAATTTCAGAGTTTTGGAAGAGGAACAACGATGGAGGAGCAGGGTCGACCAACAGAAGGAGACGAGATGACGAGTCCATTTCCCATCTCAATACAGCAGCCAACATGTTCCAAAGTGGTAAGTAACTTTTCGTGATTTGTTGCATTGTTTTGAAGTTTTACTAACATTGTGCCAGTTTTATAATTTCAGAGTTTTGGAAGAGGAACAACGATGGAGGAGCAGGGTCGACCAACAGAAGGAGACGAGATGACGAGTCCATTTCCCATCTCAATACAGCAGCCAACATGGCCCAAAGTGGTAAGTAACTTTTCGTGATTTGTTGCATTGTTTTGAAGTTTTACTAACATTGTGCCAGTTTTATAATTTCAGAGTTTCGGAAGAGGAACAACGATGGAGGAGCAGGGTCGACCAACAGAAGGAGACGAGATGACGAGTCCATTTCCCATCTCTATACAGCAGCCAACATGGCCCAAAGTGGTAAGTAACTTTTCGTGATTTGTTGCATTGTTTTGAAGTTTTACTAACATTGTGCCAGTTTTATAATTTCAGGGTTTCAGAAGAGGAACAACGATGGAGGAGCAGGGTCGACCAACAGAAGGAGACGAGATGACGAGTCCATTTCCCATCTCTATACAGCAGCCAACATGGCCCAAAGTGGTAAGTAACTTTTCGTGATTTGTTGCTTTGTTTTGAAGTTTTACTAACATTGTGCCAGTTTTATAATTTCAGGGTTTCAGAAGAGGAACAACGATGGAGAAGCAGGGTCGACCAACAGAAGGAGACGAGATGACGAGTCCATTTCCCAACTCTATACAGCAGCCAACATGGCCTAAAGCGGTAAGTAACTTTTCGTGATTTGTTGTATTGTTTTGAAGTTTTACTAACATTGTTCCAGTTTTATAATTTCAGAGTTTCAGAAGAGGAACAAAGATGAAGGAGCAGGGTCGACCAACAGAAGGAGACGAGATGACGAGTGCATTTCCCATCTCTATACAGCAGCCAACATGGCCCAAAGCGGTAAGTAACTTTTCGTGATTTGTTGCATTGTTTTGAAGTTTTACTAACATTGTGCCAGTTTTATGATTTCAGGGTTTCAGAAGAGGAACAACGATGGAGGAGCAGGGTCGACCAACAGAAGGAGACGAGATGACGAGTCCATTTCCCATCTCAATACAGCAGCCAACATGGCCCAAAGTGGTAAGTAACTTTTCGTGATTTGTTGCATTGTTTTGAAGTTTTACTAACATTGTGCCAGTTTTATGATTTCAGGGTTTCGGAAGAGGAACAACGATGGAGGAGCAGGGTCGACCAACAGAAGGAGACGAGATGACGAGTCCATTTCCCATCTCTATACAGCAGCCAACATGGCCCAAAGTGGTAAGTAACTTTTCGTGATTTGTTGCATTGTTTTGAAGTTTTACTAACATTGTGCCAGTTTTATAATTTCAGTGTTTCAGAAGAGGAACAACGATGGAGGAGCAGGGTCGACCAACAGAAGGAGACGAGATGACGAGTCCATTTCCCATCTCTATACAGCAGCCAACATGGCCCAAAGTGGTAAGTAACTTTTCGTGATTTGTTGCATTGTTTTGAAGTTTTACTAACAATGTGCCAGTTTTATAATTTCAGGGTTTCAGAAGAGGAACAACGATGGAGGAGCAGGGTCGACCAACAGAAGGAGACGAGATGACGAGTCCATTTCCCATCTCTATACAGCAGCCAACATGGCCCAAAGCGGTAAGTAACTTTTCGTGATTTGTTGCATTGTTTTGAAGTTTTACTAACATTGTGCCAGTTTTATGATTTCAGGGTTTTGGAAGAGGAACAACGATGGAGGAGCAGGGTCGAACAACAGAAGGAGACGAGATGACGAGTCCATTTCCCATCTCTATACAGCAGCCAACATGGCCCAAAGTGGTAAGTAACTTTTCG